TTTTTTGCATTTCGCCTGGTACGCTCTGTAACAACAGGTAACACAAAGCATTATTTCTTCTTCCTCTTCTTCCTCTTCTCCTTCTACAAACGATCAGGGCATAGCCCTGTTTGTCAGGCCCTCCAGTACCGAGCACAATAAATTATTATAATATAATTATTATAGTGATATACATTATAAGTATTATATTAATAAATTATTTTTTGTTTCAGGTAATCTTCATGAATTATTACAAATCGCCTTTTGAATTTTTGTCTCAGTAAGGTAAGCGTTGATGTTTTGATAATTTTAATTTCCTCTCTTTTTTTAATAGTTGTTCCCTCCATTATCCTATCCCAACCCTTCATCCTGTATGTAAAAATGTGGAGTTGCATAGTACCGTTCGTTACACTCTTACGTAGAGGTACATCCGTTGATTTCGTTAGGAATAGACTGAGTTAGTGGCTCCGTCATTCGGTGTTTGTCGCTGTTCGCTGATTCTAACGTAAATGAATTAGTCGTATTATTTCCGAGACGGTCGTATTCAGCGAAGTATTTCTCGCAATCGATCTTTCTCGTGCTTTGTGAGACACAAAAAGACCACCATTTCGCTTTTAGGCACCACTATTTCTAGCTCATTTTGGAAACAACATAAGTGCTATTAGTTTTCTCATGTAGATACTTGTTTCTATGAATGAGCCAGCAAAAGTGATCCCTTTCGCCAAAATGTATTATTCTCATGAATGACCATTTCGCAATGGACTAAAACAGTGAAGACTCTTCATTTTGAACTTGAGGCTATGTTATCGTGTAAATCGGAGTCTTCGAACGTTGATCTATCGATAGATTCACAGGGGAAAAAGAGCTTGGGGTTGTTGGATGATGTAGGCATTTCCAATTTATTGTGGCAGTACCCCAGTTAGTTGTAGTAGTACTCCAAAAATTTAGGTTAGTAACCCAAGTGTTGCGTTACTACCCCAATTGAATCGGGACGTGTGAAAACCGCTAAAGTCCATTTTTCTAGTCTTCCGTTTTTTTTTGAGCTGATAATACTTTTAAGAGTTGATACAACCATAAAAGTGATGAAATAACTCGTTTTAGTATTAAGGTAACTCGGAAACGAGTATTAACGCTACTTTCGTGGTTGCATCCAACTCCGAAAAGTATTATCAACTCAAACAAACTAAAGACTGGAAAAATTTACATTAGCGGTTTTCTCACGTCCTGATTCAATTTGAGTTGCGGCACCAACACAATTAATTGAAAACACCCATATCATCCAACAAACTTGGGTAGTACCACAATTTCATCCCCCGATACTTTTCTTCCGTGTCGATTAATATAAAACCGACGGAGTCACTGGAAGCAGAGTGAATTCAAACGATCATCACATCACGTTCCAAGTTTTCGAGAGCCCGATAGCAAAGTGTGAGCCTGCTAATCACCTCTCATGCAAATACCGAGCGTCTTGACAAGTCGGGTAATAAGCCAGGCCAATAAAGGCGCTCGCGCGAATTTTGAATGAAGGATTGAGGTAGGCGTCCCGGGCGGCGGCGCACGGTGGATCGAGTCAATCGGAGAGGTCGGACAATATTTAGAAACTTTAAAAGCTCATAACTCCCTTCACACAAAACTTCGAGATATTAAAAGTGGTTCCATTGGTTTTCCCGTGAAATTTTCTCTCCGAAAAACCCCTTAATGTGTAATATATGACGAATTAAACATGAAAATTTGCCGTTTAAGTTAAAAATTGTATGTCCAACCTCACAGGTTGACTCGATCCATTGTGCAGCGTGGGGCGGCGGACGTCCGATTGGAAAGTGACATTCATTAACCGGTAGCCGGTAGCTACTCCACCGATCAACGCCCGGTCGGCCGTCCGGTCCGTCGCGAAACAGAGGTGCGGTAGATAAACTGACGGCTTGGCTCCCCGCCTGAAAGCCGATCGGCGAAATGACCTTTGCCGCGAAAAGGCACTTAGGCCAAATGTCACAACACTGCCTGCATTTTCGTCCAAGTCGCTCAAAGTTTCCACGATTCGACCCAAATCCGTTCTTCGGGATTGTCAGCGGTCTGGAAACCGGGAAAATCAGGGAATTTGAAGTGATCGGGAAAAGTCAGGGAATTCGTGGAAAAAGTCGGGGAACTTCTGACACATTCCCTAATCACGAAAACTTATCACTGATCGTCCAACTGTAACCTATCATTGTCTTTTAAGGCTTGTCTTCTTTAACCAGCAACTGAATTCTTCTTCTATAATCGTATCTTTGAAAGTTCTGAAGGAACTCACTCAAGTGCCTCATCTTCTACAACAGTTATTTCAAAATTTAAAAGTTGATATACATAGCGTTTAAATTGACCAGATGTATCGTAACCTCGTGAAACTTCATTTCGCCCTCATTTTTGTGCTTATGCAAGGCGCACATTCCTCAAGTATGAATAGTTATTCCCAGCGCTTGCATTGTTGTAACGCTGACAAGTGACTCTGATCGAAGAATAGTTTGGTAAGATTGGGGTTTTTCGATGAAAATCATTTCAAAATGATTTAGCAATATAATCACGCTCCACACACCACAGATCAGACCAACCAGACTCCCCATGAGTATTAACCAACAAACTACGTCGAACAGTAAGATTCCCAGTTGCGTGGCGTGCTTTACGATTTATAAGTTATCCTGCCGTTTAAACCTATGTAAAAAGTTCGATCATCAGGGTGTTCGCATGTCTTAATAATCGATTCTTTTCCATAGATTAAATGGGAAAATATCGAAAGTCAATATTTCACGCCTCGCCACTGGGATCCCTCAGATCAGACGAATGACTTCCGATCTTTAGTCGCGCAGAAACAGAGTCATTGACACATGAAGTCAGTTAAAACGTTAAATCGATGCAGTACAATCTAATTAATCACCTGATTATTTCATTTTTCACCTAAGTTTTCGTAAACTTGTGGACCAAATTTGTCAACGTCGCTTATGTAGCTCGCGCACACGCATGCATGCCAATTGAATCATACGTTCAATCAGGCGGACAGGAAAGAGCGGAAGTAGGTTGGATGAGGGCGAAAGTAGGTTGGATGAGGACGAAACTGGCGGGGGGAGGGGGGGGGGGGGGGGGGGGTGTATAATCCAAAGACATTCAGCCACCGCTCAGTTGGAGCAATTAATAAAAATACCGATGTATTAGTTTGGTATCACATCTCCTCGATCCGCGGCTGACTTATGTTCAGTGATAACCAACCGGTTATTTGACATAATACAAGTTGCATTATGCGGATCGGAGCCATCGCAATGCAAATCTGCGTCAAAAGCTCTAATATCGCACGTTCTCGCGTGGCCTGGATCTGCGCTGCCGTGCTAAGTAAAAACGCCGTATGAGCCACCAGGCGTTGCCAAATTTCCTTCGAGAAGCGACGAATTTTCTAGAAAATTTGTGAGTATTTCTCCTCCGATTGTTCGGGGAATTTTGTTGGAAATGTGGTCCAAGAAGTCTGAAAATTTCAAGGAAAAACGTTCATAACTTTCTTCGAAAATGGACATTTTCTGAGAGGAAATTTGGCAGCATTCGAATGCTCATACGGTTTTTTTCCTTAGCACGGCAGTGCGGCTCGATCGATGAATCGCTATCGAATGACCTTGATCTATAAATAGCATTGTGAAGATAGGGAATTCTCGATCGAACTCATTCGATAACGATTTTACAATCGACCTGCTGGTCAGGAGCCGAGCCTTTCAAAGATAAACGACAACCGGTAGATCGACCTTTTTCCTCGAGTCGCAGCCAACAGTACCAGCGAAAATATTGCCATACATTACCGCCCCCATCGTCCACTGACGGGTCCGGAGATAGATAAATGTAGTGTTGAAAATCTGTACACAAAATCTAGGCCTGTTTTGGCAATCGCACCAATCTGCAGTTGCTCCCAAGAGCTGAGGTCTTGTAACTCAGCTTCTGCTCTTTTATGATCTTGCCGTGCGAGCTATTACGTCGAATATACTCACCTTGCAAGAAGGATGAGAAAGGGTGGGATGAAAAGAAAGGAAGAGGTACTTATTGCAATCTCCTAGGGGGAAAAGTCGGTATGTAGACGAATATTTTTAAGAACGTCGATTTTCATACACTGGAAAAAAAACACGTTGGATCTAGAGTCCAGACTCTTGAAAACATTGACAAGAAAAAATACTCTTGATTCGATCGGATTTTTGCTTGAATCAAAACGAAATTCGCTTAAATTAAGAGGCTTGGTTCTTGATTTAAGCTTAAATCTGATTGAATCGAGAGTATTTTTTCTTGTCGATGTTTTTAAGAGTTTGGACTCTAGATCCCATGTGTTTTTTTTCCAGTGTATATTCTAGAACCGTATTTGAATTTTGGTCGTTTTCTCCAGCTCCATTTTTTTTTTAAATCCTTCTTTTCCTTTTTTTCCCGCTCTCTTTTTCATGAAAATTTTAAGTTTGAACAAATTTTTTTCGTCGCATGTCGTAAATCTCAAAATTTACATAGCTAGAGATTTTGAAAGAAAACAAAAGATCGAAATCTGCTTTGAATCCGCGCATAGAGACACGAGAATTGGCGTATTTAAGTAACTCAATTTTTCTGTATTCGCTTGTATTTATTTTTGTATCAAAGGCATATTATTGATAGAGCTCTGAAGTTTTTTCTCTTTTTCTTTTCTTTTTTGGTCCGAAGCATTTCTTTTCATGGTTCATAGCAAAATTAGGAGCTAACCACGACTTGAAACGTTATCGGAGAAATTTTGTTCCCCGGAATTTTGTGGAAATTGCCACCATGCACTTTGTGAACAGCATTAATGCTTCTCTGCATTTTAATTCGAATTTGAGTTCACTAATTTTCAAAACGAAATACTGATACCCTGGATCCCAAGTTGAAAACGGAAGTAATTAGAAAGGCATCTAGCCGAACTAGGGAAAAATTATAATTTTCTTTTTTTTTTCTTTTTTTTTCAAAAAATTTTTTTACGTTAATTGGGCAGATATTGAAATCAAGAAATGTAACAATAATTCAGAAAACCATTAAAAAACTCTATTAAAGTCGTATTAACAGAATCAAAAACATATAAAGGCCGGAATTTGTTCGGGTCTTCTTATCACCAGTGGCAACTGTCTACTACCAACCACTTTAAGTTCAGTAGAAGTTTGTAAGCTCGGAGTAGGAGCCAGGGTTGGATTGGATGATGCTCGATTTAGGGGCAGCGACGGCAGCGACGGCAGCGACAGCGGGTGCTGGGGCTGCTGCTACAACAGGGGCGGGGGCTGCTGCTACTACTGGGGCGGGGGCTGCTGCTACTACCGGGGCGGGAGCTGCTGCTACTACTGGGGCGGGAGCGGCTGCTACGACGGAGGCGGGAGCGTCAGCCACGAAAGCGGCAGGGGCGGCTGCTACGACGGAGGCGGGAGCGTCAGCCACGAAAGCGGCAGGGGCGGCTGCTACGACGGAGGCGGGAGCAGCGGCGGCGTAGGCGGCAGGAGCGGCAGCGTAGGCGGCAGGGGCGGCAGCGTAGGCGGCAGGGGCGGCAGCGTAGGCGGCAGGAGCGAACGCACGGCCGTAGGCTGCAGGGGCGGCGTAGGCGGCAGGAGCGAAGGCATGGTGGACGGCAGCCGGGGCGAAGGCGGGGGCGGCGTAAGCGTGGTGGTAGGCGGCTGGAGCGTAGGCGTAGGGGCTGTCGGCGTAGAAGAGACCGCGCTTTTCGCGGACCAGTTCGGTTTCTCCGGCGTAAGCGACGGCAGCGACAGAGAGGAGGACGACCTGGGAGACAAAAGCAGTAGAATAGGTATTCGAAGGGTAAGGACACATAGCACAAACTTAGATTACCTAACACACTCGGAGCAATCGGTTGCATCGAAAATTAATCTATTTTCTTCAAAGATTAATCAGCAGTCTCCGCCCTAAAAATTAACAGAAACCCAAGAAGAAGCGGTACACTGTAAAAGAACAGTTATCGATGATTCCGACAAGCGTACATATTGACGCATAATGTCGTGCTTTTTTTCGGGGACCCAAGATTTACTCATAAATCGTTGTTTACTAGCAATCGAAAGCAGGACACCACTGATATTTTCATCAATTTCACTTGTGTTTCAGCGGCTGAAAATGATTTTGTAAAATCTGGAAACGTCCTTCCGTTTTAGTATGTCACAATTTTAGCCCAGTGTACCCATTTTTGTCAGTTTTTCTGTCAATCTCCTGTTTTAGAGGTTTTCAGTTTGTGTTTCTTTTTATCGACGCGTGGCAACACGTACCTTCATCTAGGCCAACATTTTAGGATTTTCTCGGAAATTTCTTACCGTGACGTGTTCGTAGAACTTCTTTAATTATTGGGATTACAATATTCACAAAGAACCTGCAGAAGGTTTTAAGTGAATGCTGTTCCAAGGTGCGCCGTAATAGCACGACCTCAATGTTAGTCGATGAATGTCACATTAAAAAGTTTACGAGGATGATTAGTCAACATGTAAGTTATCATTATTTAAAATCAAAGAATCGAAAAAAATTTGTTGAAAGTAGACAAAACTCAGATTTTAAAGCATGGCCGGAGTAAAACTCAGAAACACCGAGAAAAAATTGGGCTTAATGAACTTATAGCCATACATCACAAGATCTTACCAAGAAAAAACAAAGAAAAATATACACAGCGTTAATCAAACTTACGAGGAATTTCATGGTGATTGAGGGATTGTGGTGGTTGGTGGTAGAAGTTATGAGAGTTGATGAAGCACAAGAGCAAATCATGCTGTTTCCTGGGCATCGCCTTCTTTTATACTTCCGCTTATGGTCCAAATAACCCTTAGGCAAATACGTGATCTGATCAGATGCTAATGAGGGCATTCCGTAGCTCTCACCTATCGTAATTAACTATTTTCTAATTAGGACGCCGGAAAATTTTCCGGTCTCCAGTATTTGTCCCGATTGCTAAATTTGAGTTTCGCTGTTTAAAATGTATCGTGGAGGTTGATCTCTCAATGGAATTCCCTAAGTTTTGCTTATGTCACTTTTATTTTTCGACTTCACCAGTTTCAAATCGTGAAGTTCTCGGCGCCTTGTTTCCATTTAAGGTCGTTTAAAGGGCTACTAGACAATATAGGGAGAAATATGTACCGCAGTGCACGTTTTATCATCAAAATTGTACTAAAATATGCCGGCCGAATAATAAGTATTCTTTAACTTGAGAGTGAGAAATTATGGCATTTGTTAGTTCATTCTTATTGTCCGATCATCTAAAAACCGGAGTTTAACTCACAAGGGGAGCTTCCCAAGTGTAACCGGAATTTCGAGTTGAAATTTCGCATGAAGATACTAGAGATGATTTTAGGGATGCCGTATTTTTTCGTTTTTTCGAATGGGGTCGGGAAAGCCCTCAAAAAAAGGGCTAAAGATGCGGAAAAAACGCGTGCGCTAGCGGCACAAGGGAACCGTAGGTGATAGAGGCACTGAATCTTTATCAGTACCGCATGGCCGAACGGTAGCGCGCTCGCCTCGCAGGCGGGAGGTCCTAGGATCGGATCCTGATTACAGCTTGTTACTTTATTTTACTTTATGCTTGTTTATTTTTCACTTACTTTATTTTGCACCATTCGCTCCGCAAACCGACTTACGAGGTAGAACACGTAGTGACTGGAGATTTTTTACATATCGACGGTGAAACTACCAAACCACGTATCTCGTTTGCGGTGTTTAAAAATCTACGCGCACATTTTATTTTTTTGAAGTAGACCAAATCAATATCATTCCTTGAAATTTTCACGGAATTTTCTCCGCACAAAGAGGAAAAATCACAGAAATTTTCAAGACTAGATTTTAAGTAGTTTTTCATTTAAAAAATAAAGTACGACAGGAAGTCTGCGACGTCGCAAACCGAGATACGTGGTTTGGTAGTTTCACCGTCGATATGCTGATAAAAACTCGAAGTTTCTCTTGGATTGAAACGTTATATATAATTGAATAAACAAATCACTCTAAAACTCACCAAATTTCGTTGCCAAGCTGAAGTTCCGGAGTATCAGTCAGATACAGATACAGATTCAACTGATACTCCGGAAATTCAGCTTGGCAACGAAATTTGGTGAGTTTTAGAGTGTTTTGTTTATTCAATTATATATAACGTTTCAATCCAAGAGAAACTTCGAGTTTTTATCAGCATATGTAAAAAATCTCCAGTCACTACGTGTTCTACCTCGTAAGTCGGTTTGCGGAGCGAATGGTGCAAAATAAAGCAAGTGAAAAATAAACAAGCATGAAGTAAAATAAAATAACAAGCTGTAATCAGGATCCGATCCTAGGACCTCCCGCCTGCGAGGCGAGCGCGCTACCGTTCGGCCATGCGGTACTGATAAAGATTCATTGCCTCTATCACCTACGTTTACCTTGTGCCGCTAGCGCACGCGTTTTTTCCGCATCTTTAGCCCTTTTTTTGAGGGCTTTCCCGACCCCATTCGAAAAAACGAAAAAATACGGCATCCCTAAAATCATCTCTAGTATCTTCATGCGAAATTTCAACTCGAAATTCCGGTTACACTTGGGAAGCTCCCCTTGTCAGTCACGGCGATCATTAAATGGAGTTCAGTATATAAGCTTTGCGAGGAAATTAAATCTTCGTTAGCTGAATTTTTCTTGACATTTAGGATCAATCGATATCTGTAAAAGGAGCATCGAAGGATAAAGAATATGAAATGTACTTGCCGGGCGTGTTTTAATGGTCAAATCGTCTCCAGCTATTATCGGTTTTTTAGTGAGTAGGTATTTGAACTTACCGATTTTCACTTAAACTATGACCTGTTCTATAAAAGATAATTTCTGACACATAACTGGATATTGAAATGTGTTAATCTGTTCAAATTTTCCTGCGTAGAATTTCTACGAGGAAACATGCTGTGTGGTGCTTTATCACTTAATCCTCTCAATGATCCAATATATCGGATTGAACTGAGCCATCAATCTGCAGTGTCCACAGAGGAAAAAGCAATAGGTGTCTGTCAATAAGGGATCTCCCTTCTCTAACGTCGCATAATTAAACGGTAATAGAAGTAGGAATAAAACAGTGCTCAGATAGTGCAACTGCGGAAACTGTCTAGAAAATCGTACCACCACTTCAGTGCCAACTTAAGGCAACCCACGGGGGATCCCACAATTAGTCCATCATTTTACCCCTTGGACTCTAGTATCCACCCCCCTAAATAAATAGGACCCCTTTCAATAAATAAGATAGTTCTAGTTTCCTTTTGTCTTCTTAATTTGTCCATCGCTTTGTCCCTATCAATTCTAAGAATAAGTTCGCAGAGAACTGAGTCTTCGGTAACGCAAACCAATCATTTCGGTTTACTGAACCGAACCTCGGTTTGGCGAACCAAAAAACTTCACGCAATGAAAGACAATTGAAATGCCGATGGGAAAAATACCAAACCTCCTATCTTCATTAAAATGTTTAAATATACCCGCTACAATTTCAAGTTTTTCGAAGAGAAAACTGCCAACGGAGAAAAATCAAGGAAGCTTGCAAGAACTTAAAATTGACTGGTTTCCGAAAGACTAAATCAAGTATGAAATAAAAATCTACAACGTCGCAAACAAAGATACATGATTTCGTACTTTAGCCATCTATACATATGTTCAGTGTGTGACTGAACTGAAGTTTTCTGTTCGGCGAAGCAGGATGTCGGGTCGTTGAATTTAACTATCGGGTCACTGAACTGCTAGCTGATCATTGAATTGGTAGACAAAGCGATCGAAAAAGGTGACAAATGGAAAATGGAGAAATATCATAGGTTCAAACGAGTGGTTGTCATTGAACAATAGGAGAAATGATGTACTAACTGCAGGACCTCTCGTGGGTTGCCAGTAGTAAGTCTATCGCTCAAATCACATCTATTGCGACCACCCGCTTCCACCAATGGTATCGCTCCATTTTCCTTTTGTTTTCTTTGTCTATTGCTTTGTCTATTTTCAATTATCAGTCCATCAAATATTCAGTTTTTTTCATAAAAAAAAGTCGGTTCGCTCGGCTGAGAGCTGAGAGTACTCGGAGCCAAAAAACGCCTACTGAACTTGTCGGTTCGTACATCTGAGGTTTTTTTTTCTTTCTTTCTGTGGCAGCTGAAGCCTGAGACGCGGCTCGTTAGCGCGTTTATTCATCCCGTTGAACTTAATTATTAGCGGGTGACCAGGTTGATTGATATCGGGTGCTTTGATTGGTTGGATGGTCAGTTAACTGCCATGGGTGCCGCTCACTTTGACAGAGCAATGTTGCCAGCACTCCTCCAGCTCAGCTCAATCGTCGAAAATGCGGCCGTGCCGAAGAACGCCGTATCAGCATTGGTACGTTGCCAAATGTTTCCAATAAAATGGAGGAAGATACGTATCCTTTTTGCCAACGGCTCGATATTGACAATTATCGTGACAATTATCTATGGCTCTTTGACGCTATTCGTGACATCACCTTAGGAATTCTTCATTTTTTACAATTCAGGGTGTCTACAAGTCCAGAATTCCCGGAAAGTTCGGAAATAGTACTGATTTTTTAAGGGCGGTCCGGAATTTTCCATTTTTGTCGCAATTCGAGAGAGAAATTCAATTTTTTGAAATTTTTCGAATTTTGTCAAATGGAGGTACTGAAAAAGTACTGAATTTTTCCGTTGAGGAGGTACTGAATTTCTCGGGAATGTACTGAAAAAGTACTGATTTTTGGCCAGCCTGTTTTAGTAGCCACCGCCACCCTGCAATTGTATCCAGACTATAACAGTGTCTAACAGTGTCAAACTCAAAAATCACAGTGCCTTTTCACTGCCATTGCGATCGCGGTCCTTAGTTCTAGGAAAGCGTGTCATTTCACGATGATACCACTATTCGACCACGTAGGAGCGCGCGTTGCCTACACGAAAAATTGAAGGCGAACTGACAGTTGTAGATCGACTCAAGGGTTTGTCAAGCAATTCAAGGAGTTGTCGACTGATTAACGAGTTTGCCGATCGAATCTCGGGCTTGTTGATCGATTCACGTTATTATATTTCGGTCGATTCACTTTTTCATTTTTCTATCGATTCATGTGCTGCCCGATTTACGGCTTTGTCTATCTATTCACGGCTTTGTCGATCAATTCGCGGAGAAGTCGATCGATTAACGGCTTCACCGATCAATACAAGGGTTTTTCGATCGATGCACGGGATTGTCGATCGATTCAAGGGTTTGTTGATCTATTCACCGAGTTGTCTATCGACTGAAGGATTTGTTGACCAATTCACAGATGTTTCTATCAATTCGTGGAGTTGTCGATCGATTCTCGGGTTTGTCGTTCGATTTACGGCTTCGCCGATTAATACAAGGGGTTTTCGATCGATTCAAGGGTTTGTCGATCTATTCACGGAGTTGTATATCGACTAAAGGGTTTGTCGATCAATTCCCAGATTTTCCGATCTATTCTGGGAGTTGTCGTTGGATTCACGGGTTTGTCGATCGATTTACTGGATTACCGATTGTTTCGCGGGTTTGTCCGTCGATTCCCGTTTTTCTTTTTCGATGGATTATGTCGATCGAATCCGTGCCCCTTTATAGTTTGGCGCGCTACTCGTGGACGCAGAGCTTGGGACGGCGGGGGGTGAGCGGGAACCCCACCACCTTGTCGGGGCAGCGTGGCGCGATGCGGTGCGGTGGTACGGCGGCGATGCGGTACGGCGCGAGTGTGTCATGGCTGTTGGGACCCGACGTGGAGACCAACTCGGCGAATCCAACGCCGCGCGCCGGTCCGCTCGGCTCACGCTCCAGTCTGGTGCGGCTCGCGGCTCCAAACAGTCCGTCCCGACCCCGACCCGGAGTGCCCCCTCGTGCCCCCCTGTGCCCCCTCGTGCGCAATG